GCCACTGTGCTGATAATCTTGTAAACTCTGTTTTATTTGTTTTTAAAATTATCAAAATTGAAAGTACAGACCTGTGCACAACTATGTATATCTATTTGAGATAACTTATTTGGAAAAAGGAGGATTTTGTATTTTGTCGCATACCCTAAATGATACCATCACTGCACTATGGCACGACGGAATAAAGGTCACAGATGCAATCCTAATTGATACTGATGGAACTGTGGTAACTATTTGTAACTAAATAGTCTAAGTGGAGTTTGCGCATTCTCCCCGTGTCTGTATGGGTTTCCACCAGGTGCTCTGGTTTCTTCCTATAGTCCAAAGATGTGCAGGTTAGGTGGATTGTCCTTGGTAAATACAGGTAGAGGAAGGGGTGAGGGTCTGGGTGGGATGCTCTTCAGAGGACCAGTACAGACTCAATGGGCTGAATGGCCTCTATCTGCACTCTAGGGATTCTATGATTCTATGAATATTAGCAAAGCCTTAATATTATCACAAACACTGATGTGCTTGTCATACATTCATTTGTCAGGAGCTGTACTAAACGTCTGTTGTGTCTTTCAGCACCACATGGCCCATGTCTAGCTGTTATTACAGAAGCTACAAAATACCCCTTCTAGAGGCTAAACCCAGATTATAGTGGAAGATCAGTGAGAGTTCCCAGTGAAAGAAATTCTCACAACCATTCAAGTCAACAAGAGATTAAGAAATGAATTAATTACAATAAAACTGGTGGTAAAGATTAATACCTGGAGCACTGAGTAACATTGTTCCGCACAGAATGTTCCAGATCTTTGCAGCAGATCCTGCAGGCCATGAACTGCCCTTCACACTATTTCCAAGGAACTGACTGAGACAAGCAAGCTAGCTCCTTGTTTCATCCATGGGGACTTGGAGGTGCAAGTGGATAGGATGGTGGAGAGGAAGACAGTGTTGAGTCCTGCTGCCAAGCAAAGGAGATTACGCCACTAGTCCCAGCCATGCTGAATTGTGTCAGAAACCTGAGTCAGTGCAGGTAAAATATGTAGTAATGCAGAAAGAAGATTAATGATCTTCTGTGCTCCATAAGGCTAATTGCCTCTCTCACACTCACAGGACCACCCCTCACTCTAACCCTACACACCTTTCTTCAAGAACTATAGATACAGTTCTCGCTGTATCTCTTATGTATAGTGTCCACTCAATAGTTCTCACCCAGCTCATCCTGTCAAACTATTAACTCTTCCTGCTCTCTGCTCTTCCTACTCACTCATTGGAGACATTTCACCGCCTCCCCTACTCATGCATCACCACTAACTGTTCTTGCATCAACTTCCAACACACCCAGTCCTTCCCATGGTCTCATTGAAGGGAAATTAGCCCACCCCCCAGACTGATGTCTCCACAACAGCCTCAATGATTTTCCTGTAATGCCTGCACTTAACATGCAGGACCATGACCAACCCCTGAGACTAGAGTAGGACAAGCCAAGTGGGAAATACGATGTGAAGAAGGAGTAAGTAAGTTGCAGACAGAAGTCAGTAGGTTGAATGAGTAAGCATAAAATCTGTCAAATGGTTTCTAATGTGGGAAAATGAGAAGTTGTTCATTTTGGCAAAAAGAATAAAAATTAAATTAGTTAAATGGACAACACTGCAGAATTGCAAGATGAAGAGGGATTTCGGTATTCCAGTGCAAGGGCTACAGAATCTTGATATGAAGTGCAGTGCTCACTCAGAAAGGCAAATGGGATGCTAACCTTTTTTGCCAGAGGAATTGAACATAAAAGTAAGGATATTAATTTTCAAAAGTACAGGTTATTGGTGAGATTTGGATACTGTGTGCAGTTTTTCCCTCCCTATGTACGAAGGATGTAAATGCATTGGAGGTGAATCAAAAGAGGTTTACGAGATTGATACTTGGAATAAATGCATTGTCTTATAAAGATAAGTCCAGCAGGTCAGGCTTATATCTATTGGAGGTTAGAAGAGTGAGAAGTGACTTGATTGAAGTAAGATGATGGATGGTCTTGACAAAGTGGATATGGAAAGGATGTGGGTTAGTCCAGCACTGGGAGGAATAGTTTTAAATTTAGGGGTCACCTTTCAGGCCAGAGATGAGAATTTTTTTTTTTTTCTCAGAGATTTATGCATCTTTCGAATTCTGCCTCAGAAGGCAGTGTCATAGGAATGTAGAATTTGAAACACAAAAAAAATCAGGCACAATATTAAGGAATGGGATAGCAGGCTAAGGGACAAAATGGTCTACTTTGGTCATATTTTAAATGTTCACATGCTCATAATTAATGTTAAGCTTTATTTTGAAGGAAGTATTGAGTTCAGTAATGAATGTAAGGAGAAAAGGAAACACAAATTGCAAAGAGGAAGCTCTTTAAATGTTGCTTCCTTCCAATATTTGCCACAATTTGATAGACTTCCCTGGGTGCCAATAAAATGCCAGGTCTCACTGATCTTGAGCAGGGGATCTAAATAATTAAAAGCAAGCTGAGCTGCCTAAATGCTTAAGTTGGTTCAATTATTTAGGGATTAGAAACATATGGCCTTTTTTTGTACTGAACACTTTTGTGGTAACTTAATAAGTTGTGTTCTACCAGAAATTAGTCAAATTAAATTTACTAATGTACAATTATAACAACTTAATGGGAATCTCATTGAGCATCACATGATGGCATTATGACCATTTTCTCCAGTGTAAATTGAACAGCTAACTTCACTTTCTTTGACTTCTTTGAATTGCTAGAAGATGGCCTTAACTTTCATAAAACACATGCTTTACAGCAACAGACATGAACTGTTCAAGTTTGAAATTGATCCAGATGGTTGATCCTCTATGGAACATGTTTTCTGACCTATCTACTGGGCAATTCATTTAATGTAATCATTCTGTTCTAAAATAGAGGTTATAACATATGGGGAGGCAATGGCTTAGTGGTATTATCGCTGGACTGTTAATCCAGACACTCATGTTTGAATCCCACCAGGATGGTGGACTTTGAATTCAATAAATATTGGAATTAATGATCCATGAATCCATTGTCGATTGTTGGAAAAACCCATCTGGTACACTAATGTCCTTTAGGGAAGGAAACTGCCATCCTTACCTGGTCTGGCCTACATGTGACTCCAAACCCACAGCAATGTGGTTGACTTTTAACTGCCCTCTGGGCAATTCGGGATGGGCAATAAATGCTGCCTGGCCAGCGACACCCTCATCCCAAGAATAAATAAAGGAAAAAAAAGATGAGATAAATCTTCATGGTTCCTCCTGGGCATTATGCATTGTCTCAGTGGAGTACAGAAAGGAAACTCTGCTGTGAGGTTGTACTGTAAGAGAACTTGCTGTATTTTCTTTCAATTTGAAATGAATGGGTGGAAAATTGAAGGAGTCTGTAATAGGTGTGGAATCCTTCCTGTCATATTTTCCAGTCCATAATACTGCTAAGGCAATGCTTTGTGTTGAGTTGTAAAAAAAATCAAAATTATCATATGAAATGATTGCTCAGGACTTTAGCAAAATCTGTCCCATTTTATTCAGCAGAAATAATTTATTCCGGCAATATGAAGGCTCATGAGATGATTTTAACCTACATAATGCCTGGGAAACCCACAAGATTAGACGCAAAGCTAACACAATTTAAGTTTCCCACCTGATCCTGCAGCATTCTCACCCAGCAAGTTAGTTTAAAATTATACATTTTGCTAATAAACTTGTGTTTTTGTAAGAAGTCATGTTTGACCAACAAAATATTAACATTTTCTTTAACTTGTTTTATTTACTTCTCTGGATTTGAATGAAGAACAGTACTCTAAAATACTAACAAAATTATATCAATTTATAATAAGCACTGGAGCATTTGAGACTACAGTTTCCTGTTCAAGCAAACCACCACTGCTGACATGGAAGCATGTTAAATATCTTGGTAATAAGGAAAGTGGCTTGCATTAAATAATTAAACATTGCATTTTGCTAATCAGTAGATTTGAAGCAAAAGTCAATTGAGTTAATTGGCTTCATAAAAAGCAATAGCTTTCTACCTAAAATGTGATTAATTAGAATTGTGTACACAATTCAAAGTTGGATCTAAAATAGGCAGAGCATAAAATTACACCGTGTAAAATTGGCAAATGATTCACACATCATATGCTAGAAGCATTAGTCCATTCAGCCGGTGTGGATATAGATTAACATCTCCAAAAAATAGTGGGGAGAGGAATTTTATTCAACTCATTTTAGTACTGATCCTATACAAGCGATGCAGTATAATGTCAAGGCTTGAATTCGTATGTCTAATATGAAAAGCCTATTGACTCAAGTTGTCCTTTATGCCCTAAAACTATGCATTAGATTGTTTTAATAGCCAACTGAATTTTTTCCCTGACTGTTGACTAGTAATATATACCCAAGTGGGGAGGAGTTGATACACCTGCCAAATTTAGGGGACGTGCGCAAACCAGTACGTGACTAGATTTCAATATTATTTTAGAAAAACTTAGGAGAAGCCAAGCTGTTCTTGTCAGACTGAGATAATTTCTTTCACAGAATTTCAAAAAATACAAGTTAACTGAAAGAAATAGTGACTTGTATGTTGCAAACAGTATATTTTTAGTTAATAGTTTACTTCATTCCCCTTGTCACAGTTTGACTGAAATATTTTTATTAATATTTTTGTATTGTCCAATACATTGCATGTTATTTGTAGTTTCTTTGCTTTATCTGTATATATACTTCCATCATTCTGCTGGCATCACTCAGTAGAACTTGTAATCAGCAATTGTACCTTTTAACATATTGTGGAATGAGAATATGACAGGAGAAGTTGGAGTTGGCCCCACTTTATTCGAGCAAATTTAATTTCAGGAATAGAAATCTCATTTTACACTTCCAGTTAGGAGGAGAATGGCATTGGGACTTTTAACAACCAACATATTAGTGCACTAGAAATAAAATCGAGAAACAAACTTTTTATAAAGCCATTTATTGTTGACCCATAATAAATGTTACTCTAGTGTTATTCTCGTTGATGGGATGGGATTCATTTTGCAGAGTTTGCAGTGCTGCAATCCATTTTCATTGCAAGAAGTACACTTGAGGGACTTAAAGGAATCGGTGAAGCAGTTTCGAAACACTGACATCTTGCTCCCGTGGCACACTGAGCATGGAACAAATGCAAATCCACCACAGGCTGAACACTCGTGTGGGTGTTGGACTTTCTAAAAGTGAAACAGAAAAATACATTATTCAGTATTTCCCTTTGTATTATAACATTTCTAAATAATAAAATGTAGAGATATAACTTGATTGTGAAGAAACAAATATCATTCACAGAATATATATTCGGCTCTACATAATCTCAACATAATTATTCAAAATTATTTTATAAAGGATTGTTTCAAAGTATGTGGTATGCAAATTTTCCCCCATTATGAGGATATACAGTAGCTCTTGCATTAGGAATGCACAGGAAGGTTGTGTTTTGGCTCAGCGTGTGTTATTTTGGAACTGCATTCAAAGCATGGAGACATACTAAAGTGAGCATCTTACATGTTAATCCAAATTTGTGGTAATTGTATGGTAAATCAAATAAGGCACAACGCAGTCAGGTTAAAGTTGGGATTTTAACTTGCTTGGTTTGAGGGTTTTGTTGAAATTGATAGCATGTTGAGAACTTGACTCCAAATTGCCAGCATCTAAACTTCAGCAGTGGTGTCTTAAACTGTGTGTGAGGACCCATTGATAAAAGCAGTTTATTCATTCCAAATTTGTTAGCACTCAGTAAGAGATAGTTAAACATATGTTTTGGGATTTAAGTGCGAGTGGATAGGTTTCCCAGGTTTTCTGGAACTCACCACTGAAAGCAAGGCAGGAACACATTGGAATTGAGGGGGCCGAAGGAATGAAATTCTGAATAAATGAAAGAATTAGTTTTATTGCCACATGCACTCAAATGAGTACAGTGAAAAGTTTACAAGTCACCACTTAGGGCGCCAACTTAGGTACAGATTCTGTAGTACTACTTCTTAGAAATAAAAAGATTAGAAAAATAAAGAAATAAAAAATACAGCATCACAGATTGTAGAAATAAATTAGAAAATAGTGAAATAAAAAAGTTCAGAACAACAGTCTTTCCAATCCAGTCCATGCTGGCATTTAGCATACTTGCTAAGAACAGTGCTTCTTCTGTAGATAATCTACTGGATGAATCCTCTAATCATCAGATTGACTCAAGACAAAAAAAAAACAACTCATCTCCAGTACTGGTAGAGGTGGCAAATACCACAGTGGTCATCCAGGCAGATGCTGTATGCTATGTGTTGCAGATCTGAGCCCCACCGTGAGAAGAATCCAATAGACCCTCACACCATCCATGGTGCTTTGTTGTGCTGTACTATGTCTGTCAGCACATTGGCATTTTAGCCAGAGCCAAAGACTTTCACTGCTCCAATTTTAAGAGACTATTTAGTGCAGACACACAGGCTGCTTGTCATGCATCTCAGTATTGAACTGTCCTTGGGGGATGGGTTGGGGGAAGGAGGACATCTTGATGAACAGTGCATTGAGACACATTCTAACACTTAGAGCATGCAACACCCGGCTGCAGCAAACTCATTGCACATTCATTCAATCAAATAGTCATGTCAGAAACTGGTGGGGCATGATCCTCAGTGCAGTTAAGACAGGACCACTGTCAGTTAGGGGTTCCCAATGCCATCAGTCAGGGGCACACAGTTCATGGTCTTTGACATGGTCAGTGATCTGCCCTGGTACAGTCCATGGGATGTTCAGTGGTTAGTCCTATAGGACCAGAACAAGCAGTCAAAGGAATCACACATCATTAGTCAGTGAGCGGCAAGCACAGCAGCCAAGGGTCTGGTCACTCAGTCTAGGGGCTGATTGTTGAAGTCAATCTATGGCAAATACCACACTGGGTGTCTATCCATTAACGTCTCTGGAGAGTTCAAGGGAGAAGGGGCATAGGGCAGAACGGTCAGGGAATCAAGACTGGATGTGGTTGAAAGCAGAGGCATTGACAGTGGTGGGGATAAAAATGGTGATGGCAGAAACTCAACTTGAATGGGGGAAGTTCAAAACGGATGGCATGGTAGGCTATGGGATGGTGACCTTCCCTGTGATCATCCCAGGGAAAGACATCATCAAGGTGTAATGTCAGGGTTCAGTGCCAGGACGTTTGTAGAGGGTAGGTGCGTCTCCACAATAGGAAGATGGGTCAACATGAGCTATACAGGAAGATGAGGTAATAGGGGACATGTGGGGTCTAGGGGATAAGTAGGCTGTAATGATCTAAGCAAGGCCTAGTGTGACGTTATCCAGCACAAACTGCATTGTCAACTATACTTCTCTAAATGTGAAGTACTTCTAGAAAATAGCTGGAACAACACCCATAGAGAGCGGAGGTCATGTTAGTTTGATGGCCGAAACTGCAGGATCCACATTTGCTGGATGTCATGATGGTGTAGCAATTAAAACATGAAGATGTTATTCGCAAAGCACAGGAACATTGAACATTCTATCACCCATTTCATATGCATACAAAATGAAGGCACTTAGGGGTCAGATGCTGGTCAAAGGTAATTTGCTATATGCCATTGGTACCCGCAAATTGAATCGGGAGATCTTAATGATGCTGAAGTTAGCAGCAATGATGGTACAAAAGGTCACCTGCTGACTGATGGGCAACTTTTTTCAATCACCATCCGGAGGTTCTGTGTGAATCGCACTAGAGTCCTCATCTACCATGACAGTGGAATGATTTTCTGTGCAGAATGCAGTGTCAGGTTCAGCGACTGAAGTGGGAGGCTAGTGTTGTGCTGCAGTCAGTCCCCTTTCACTAACATGTGGTGGTCATTCAGGTGGTGCAGTACCTTCATCAAGTTACTGCAAATGCTGTTGGGGAACGTGGTTGACCAACACAGATTTGTCTCTGTGATCTACATCTATCACGCCTCTCTGTGTAGTGAAGAGTGACCAAAGAAGAACAAAGAACAGTACAGAACAGGAATAGGCCCTTCACCTCACCAAGACTGCGCAGACAGACAATGCCTTTCTAAACTAAAAACCTTTTGCCTCTACACAGTTCGTATTCTTCTGTTCCCTGCTTATTCAAAGATGCCTCTTAAATGTTGCTACTGTATCTGCCTCCTCTACCACCCCCTCTGGCAGTGTGTTCCAGGCAATTACCACCTTTTATGTAAAAAACCTGCCTCTCATATCTCCTTTAAACTTCCGCCCCTTTTACCTTAAACCAATGTCCCATAATAATTGACATTTCTATCCCAGGAAAAAGACTCCAACCATCCATTCTATCTAAGCCTCTCATAACTTTGGAAACTTCTATCAGATCACCCCTCATCCTTCAACATTTAAATGAAAACAAACCAAGTTTGTCCAATCTCTCCTCATAGTTAATACCCTCTAAATCAGACAACATCCTGGTAAACCGATTCTGTACCCTTTCAATGTGCTCAGTCCTCAGTCTGCAGGGATCACCACTGATTACCATTCCAAGGTCCAAGGAACTCTCTTGCTCCTTCTGTGCCTAATTTAGATTCTTTCTGTGGAGAGTGAAGGGCCTGACCACAGGTGACATGTTGGTAGAAGATGAATGTAGGGGTGAGCAGGCCCAATGGCAGACCCATGAGCGACAGCAGAAGACAAGGAGCACCCAGCTCAGGGAGAGGTTGCGGTCATAGGGCCTCTCAGGAATGGTTGGGGTCCACAGGAGACCCAGAGGTTTCTAGTCCAGGTGAGCTAGAATGAGGCATGGTACTGAAGCAGGCTCCGTACATCCCGAGACACGGCGAAAGAACCGTGCTGTTTGCTGGAGCAGGACCTGAGGGTTGCAGAAGGTGGAGGCCATCCTCTCCTGGGGTTGTGAGGGTCACTGTGGTGGTGAAACGTTTTATGACTGGCTCCTTCTGGGGAGTGATGGGTGACCTGCGTGGGATCTCTCATTCATTTCACCCACAAATCCATCAGAACAATATCGGTGCCAGCTGTGCAAAATCACACCGGGTCATTTCATTGTCTCAAGGCAAGGTCAGTGCTGCAGCCTCGGCAGTAGGATTCAGAAACATAGCTGGGTTCCCTCAGATGCAGGGTGCCATTGACTGCCCTCATGTGTCACTGAGAGGACTGTATTACAGCACTGCTAAGTTCAACAATAGGAAGAGATTCCATTTGATTAATCTGTGATCACTGTTATCAATTCCTGAAGCTATACATCCTGGAGCTATACAACCGATACATCCTGGAGCAATCTTGTGAACCTGGTGTGTTTGAGGGTCGAGGGGTAGTCACTGAGGAGCATGGGCCACCACCATGACCATAACTGATGACATCATTGAACAACCCCTGACTAATGCTGAGCATAGACTTAACAACACCCAGGACTCAACCAGTGCCATGTTGGAATAGGGTATTGGGCTCTTAAATGTGCAATCCCACTGCTTAGACTAGTCTGGGGGAGCCTCCAGTATCATCCAGATGGCATGTGCAACATCACTCTGGCTTGTTATGCCTTTCCCCATTGGAATAGGCAATTCAGTAACATTCTGGATGCAGAGAAACTGGGGAATGGGCACAGTCTTCCAAGGAGGAGGAGGAGGACGAAGACCCTGGGTGTGGAGGAAGCTAACCTCTGTGACAGATCTCTGCTGCTGTGAGTGCTACAAGTCAAACAGAACCTCATTGACACCCACTTCCAGTGGAAGAGAGCAGTGTGAAGTTGGGAATTGTTCAACGTAAAATGCTTTGGTCATGATGCCAAAGTCTGGTTGGCATTGTGGGGGAGAAGTTCAGCCTCTGTTAGCTTAATTTCTGTTCCCTATTCCTTTCTGTAAATGAAAGCTCACATTTGTGCTTGTGTTTATCTGATTGCTTGCCTGTATAGGATGTTCTCCTACAGGACTGACTAATGGCAAATAGCATCCCTGCCACACAAATGCCAGGCAATGACCATCTCTAGTAAGAGACAACCTAACCATCGTCCTTTGACATTCAATGGTGTTACCGTCACTGAATCCCCCACTGTCAACATCCTGAGGATAACCATTGACCAGAAACTCAACTGGACTCACCACATAAACACAATGACAATGGAGCAGATCAGAGGCCCGGAATACTGCAGTGAGTAACTCACCTCCTGACTTCCCAAAGCCTGTACATAATCTACAAGGCACAAGTCAGGAGTGTG